AAGCCAGTTGTATGAGAAGGGAGGGAAGAGAGACCAACCCAGATGATGAAAATAATCAAGGAACCATAGAAACAACCACCATTTCCACATTTCTTTCATAGCCACTCTTTTATCCCAGTTTCTGCAGAGATATGGACCGAGGAAGATGACCATTAAACCATCCAGACTAGAATGCGTCCCACAGTAAAATGCACTAGAAACACTCCCTTCCTCTCCCCTTTCTTCCTCATTTGGCTTTGTGTTTTTAGGTATAAGAGTCTTATCCCTGTTTTTACTTAAAATAAAGAGCAAATCAACATTTTGTACTGTGAGAAAAAAATCACTTATTTTTCATGTACATGACTGAAAAGGAATCCCTTACATCTCGATCATCCTGTGTTGATCACAGGAGGCAGACCTCTGGGACCAAGATGAAGCTCTAGAATCAGTCTGAGTTTCACCTTGGTTGCACCATTTACAAGCTGGCTGACCTAGGACAAACTGCTTAAGCTGTTCGTGCTTCCTACTCCTCTAAAACAATATCTTATAGATTTGTTGATAGGTTTAAATGAGAACATGTAGGTTGAACTCTGAAAACTGTGGCTGATATATAGTGAGCACTTTTATTATTAGGTGGCATTTTTATTAGTGTTAATGATGTTTGAGCTCTCAGCATGACCAAATGGCCCTCCAATGACCCGCCTCTCTTACCTTGGCTGCTTGCTGCATAGACTTCATCACACTGCCTCACTTTGCTCCACGAAAGCCAGGTTATCTTTTAGTCCCAAACCATTTTATCTCTATCCTCCGTATCTTTGTTCACACTGCACTGCCTAGTTGTAATTCAACATTCCCTTTACACAACCTATTTCCTATTAAGCTTCAACCACGTAAAATTGAATGGTGCTATATTTGTGCCCCTGGCCAGACATTTTGTACAAATTTCTTCATTCCCCTTCTCTCCTCCTCTGGACTATGAACCCTTCAAGAGCAGAAGAGTGTTTCTGTCACCCTTTTAGCCATTCCACTTAGCAACTGCTGTATAAAACACATTTAGGAAAATGTATGTTGAATTAAAGAAAAAGGCCCAGTGTAGTAATTCTGAAGTCATAAAATTCTGTTTAAAGTATAGCCAAGGGAATTGGCTTGGTGATCTCTTCTGGCAGCAAATACCATTTATTATTATAAACTGCATAAAGTAATTGTCTTTATTTGTTCAAAATTAGATGTCCTTTAATCACATCTGGTGAATTGAATTAAGGAACTTACTCTTATTAATGGAATTTAGCTTTTAATATATCTGAGATATTTCTAATAACATTGTTCAGAGTCCTGTAAAGTTTTCTTCCTGATACATAATGCTACATTTTTCTATTTTCCTATTCTTTTATTTATAAATATCATATAATGTTTTTGAAATCATCTATACTACCTTTAATCAGTTGGTTCAACAATAATTAAAAACCATTTTTAAATGTGCTTCCATATTTTTCCCCTTTGGTGAATTTTACCCAAATCAACTAAAATATTTTATATAAATAACTATGTAATTCATATTTTTTCAAATGGACTCTCTGCTAGAGAAAAACAATAACCTATCTTATACGATGGCTCAAAAATACATTTGTGAAATTAATGAATAGTATTTAACTTGATTCATATATCACAAACCCAAGCATTTATGTCCATCATCATTGCCACCAAACTTACACCCACCGTCATCTCCCAGCTCAACTACTGCAGTAGTTTTTACACCGACTTCCACTTCCAGGTTTGCATCTCTACTATCCACAGAACATTTGAAATGATCTTTTAAAGTTTTAATCAGTTACCCAGTCAAAATTCTCCTATCACCGTTGTATAACGAATCAAGCCTGGCCTCCTTACAATGGCCTATGAAGCCCAATATGAGCTGATCATTGTCTGCCTGTCTGCCTCCCTCTCCACCTCATTGGGTCAGGATGCATTCTGGGTTTCTTCCCCCCTTGAACATGCCATTCTTGTTCCTGTCCTGGGCTTTTGTATCTAATATCCCCTCTCCTTGCAAAGCTTGATCCTGAAGAGAAGGCTGAGTGGTTATCCTCAGATCAAACATGGCTTCCTTGGTGAGGCCGACCTTCCCCGACTGCCTCCACTCCAGGAGGCTGTCCAGTCCTACTGTGGGCAGCTCTGCCGTTCTCAGCACTGTCTCTGCCTAATGGTCCAGCTTGTTCAGTCTGTCCTGGATCTTGGCATTTAGGTCCACTACCTTCCTCTTCTGACACCTAGTTAAAGCTGAAAACCTCACAAATCTCGTAGCTCAGCCATTTTGCTTCTGGTTGGCTAGTTTTTCTCAGCATGTTATTCATGCCACTCCATAACCAGGGGAGACCTGGGATTGCAAACTGGGTTTACTTGTACCATGGGACCCTTGTGACACTACTGAGTCACCAGGCGTTGGTGTGGGATTACTCAGCACAGTAATCCCTTCCCAAAATCACAGGCAAAACCCTGAGAATTTCTCTACTAAGAATTTCTAAAGCTACCCCCACCAGATGTTTGACCTCAAGAAGCTGAGAGGAGAAAACGAGAGCAGTGGCAGCCACTTTCCTCTCCTGATAGGATCTTTCTCTTCACTTTGGTTATATCTACAAATAATACATAAAAGGGGCTCTCTTCCTATTGCTTTCTGCATGCTTAGAAACTCCTTTATATAAAATTCCATGAAAACTTAGTCATTTGTGCTTACTGAATAACATCAAGATGACAAGTAAAATTAGTGAATCATCTTAGTGTTTTATGCTTACATTACTAAGCACTGGATCTTGGCAAAACATCCAAGTAATAAACGAATCCACCAATTCTAGATTTTATATGTAAGAAGGGACTAAAGGAATTTTGAAATCCTCTTTTCTCCAGACCAACTGACTTTAAACCATCTATCAAAGTGGGAGATAGAAATTGAGTGTCTTGTGCCCATCTCTTCCCCATGTTGGACAAATGCCTTGACTGCTCTAGGAGAAAAGGCAAGCATTTTAGGAAATTAGAAGAGAAAAATGTATTCTAATCATTTGATGAGTTAGACACAAATGTACAGAATGGAAAAGAATGATTGTGTCCCTACACAAAATACAAAAAGCAAGATAGAAATGATAATTATAGTCAAACCTTTATAAAAAAATAATTATACAAGAGTAACTTCATAGCTTGAGTGTTATTTATTCTGCATGCTGAGCCATTAAATCATAGCCATGACTTAAGAAATGCACGTGTGTGTGCGCGTGCATACACACACACACACACACACACACACACACAAATCTGAGTTGCCAAATATATAACAGGACTCAGGACACTTGCTGGCCCTAATTATTTGCTCTCATTCTAGATAGGATTCTAAATGTTTGAGTTTCTGACTTTCCAGCAAAAAAAAATAAAAAAAAAATGAAAGCATCATGGTAAAAATAGAGCAAGAACAGCATTTGATGCTGAGACAAAATATTATTGTTACAAAACTATCATTTGCTCAAATATAATCATCTGTAACCAGTTGAGATAGGTGTGGATGCCCTTTTTCTATTTTTTTTAATCTTTATTGTTGAAAGTATTACAGATGTTTTCCCCTTTTCCTCCACAGATCCCCTTTCCCGCTCCCACCCCTTTTCTATGTTCATTATATTAAATATATTGATCTTTTATGTCAAAATATACAACCAGTATATATATGTTATATGCAATAATTTTACTTTTGGTCATTTAAAAACTTCAAGCACAAGATATATACAGTTTCAGCAGAGAAACTTTATCTACCTTATAAAACATTATTTTTTTCAAATTGGGGCTCAAATAGTATTGAAAGTAGATATGCAGGCAGGATTATTTTATAAACAGTGTCCAGGGCCTGTGCTACTGAAGACTTGTCTGAGTAGACACTTGGACTTACTTCTGGATTTACCCTAGTTCCCTAGCTACAACTTCTAGCTTCTTAAACCGACTAGATGTTTGAACAATCCGAACTCTGAAAAATGGGGATAATAAAACCCACCTTACATAATTGCTATGATGATTAAATGACAACTACACACACCAGAAAACATTCAAGAGTTGATATAAAATATAGACATGTTATTCGATAATTGTTGATGGCAGGCATTCTGGCAGGTGTAAGGTGATACCTCATAGTTGTTTTAATTTGCATCTGTCTGATGATTAGGGACGTATGTCTCTTGGCCATTTGTATGTCCTTTTTGGAGAAGTGTCTATTTAGGTCCTCTGCCCATTTTTTAATTGGGTTCTTTGTCTTCCTTTTTATTGGGTTGTATGAGCACTTTATATATTTTGGAAATTAACCATTTATCTGATGTATCATTAGCAATTATGCTTTCCCATACAGTGAGTTCCCTTTCCATTTTTATGGTTGTTTCTTTTGCTGTGCAGAAGCTTTTTAGTTTGATGTAGAAAAGGATACTCTAGTACACTGCTGGTGGGAATGCAGACTGGTGCAGCCACTATGGAAAACAGTAAGGTGTTTCCTCAAAAAATTAAAAATTGATCTGCCATTTGACCCAGTGATCCCACTTCTAAGAATATATCCTAAGAAGCCTGAAACACCAATCAGAAAGAATATATGTACCCCTATGTTCATAGTAGCACTATTTACAATCTCTAAGATCTGGAAACAGTCCAAGTGTCCATCAATAATGTGCAGATAAAAAAACTGTGGTACATATATACAATGGAATACTAAGCAGCTGTAAGAAAGAAAGATCCCTTATCCTTTGAGATGACATGGAGGGACCTAGAGAGTATTATGCTAAGTAACATAAGCCAACCAGAGAAAGACAAATACCACATGATCTCACTTATTTGCAGAATGTAATGAACAAGGTGGGCTGATGAACAAAATAGACCCAGAGACATAGAAAGGATAATAGTTCAGACTGACAAACCTCAGAATAGGGGGTGGGGAGGATGGATGAGATGAACCAAAGAATTTATATACCCAGCACATTTAACTAACAATTTTTTTTCTTTCCCAACAGGTTAAGGATGTACTAATTTAAGAATTTTAAAATACAGTGGAATAGCATTACAACGGTCTATGTGCTTCCCATGATATGTTCTCTATATTGTAAGTATACATATTTACATTTCCAAGCTAGCGTGATTGTGAGAGAAATGTGTTCAATTAGACTTTTGGATAACTTAGATTGTTTCAGAAAAGTGTAAGCTACAACTCATCCAAAATATAGAATAGTTCTGGATGGTTATCTTATATGAGGAGGTATTCTACAATTTTAGATTTAACATTGTTTCAAAATTAAAGTTTAATATAATTATCATGGTAGAATAATATATCCATTTTATTAGATTTTTTATAAATATTATATTTAATACTTAAGATTTTTATACTACTTAGTTTTCTAGAATTTTTTCAAAAATATTGGGCATGTAGAATTTCATGGTAAAGTATTAAAATTTATTGAAGTATCTTAAAAATATATTTACTATTTCAACGTCAGATCAATTTTTACTATATTAATTATCTTTTTGAAAATTTTTTTAGTTCTGGCAAGATAATACATATAGCACTAAATCATTTGTGTATATGAGTGTGTATATATATATATACACACACACACAATTTATTTAATAAACTAAATAAAAAGTTTTCTTTGTTCAGTAAGAAAAACTTTTACTATTAATTGTACATTGTTTAAAAGCAAGGAGAAGAGAAAGACTGCACAACTATGCTTTGTTTTTGAGTTAAGAAGGACTAAGCACTAAGTACTAACTCACAGCAGCAGGAAGACAAGGAGGCAGTCCAATATCGTCTTCCTCCAAGTGAATGATAACTAGAGCCCTTCGTATTCAATTGTGGGACAAATTTATGGCACATTTAGGGCATCAGAAGTTGCTGTTCTAGCACAACACCTGATTCTTCCAAACCTGCAGAACCCATCTCAAGCATCACTCTCTAAACTCTCAGCCTTTTTGTTGTTGGAAACCTTGTCTGAGGATAAAAATTATATCACAAGGGATTTGAAATTTGGTGATCCTTGATCTTTCTCTACAAAGGCAGGAGAATGAGGTGTGCCTAGTTAGGCTGCAGGGGTTGGAAGTCGTGGTGGATAGAAAGATCATTACCAGGCCATTTTAGAACACTGAATTAGTGCCTTTGACACAACATATAATTTAATACACTATATATGTTTCTAAAGCAGTGCTATCTAATAGAAATATAATGTGAGCCACACATGTAATTTAAACTTTTCTTATGATCACATCAAAAAAGGTAAAAAAAAAAAAAAAAAAAGCAAGTATAGTGGGTTTTAATAATAAATTTTATTTAACCTTATAAAATCTATATAATCCTTTTAGCATGTGATCAATGTAAAAACTATTAATGAACCATTTAACATTTTTTATGCCATATCTTCGAAATCCAGTGTGTACTTATATCACATCTCGATTTGGATACTAAATTTTTATTGGATGTACTGGATCCATATTCAGATTTCATAAAATTTATAGTTGAAAAGAGTAGATTCCCAAGGCCAAGTTGTTCCACACATACTGAAAGTTTTTCAGTAACTAAATTGAGTATCAGTTTTTAAATTCAGGTTCATTAAAATTAAGTGTTATTTAATGTATACTGGACACATTTCAAGTACTCGACAGTCCCATGTGTCTAGGAGCTATTATATTGGACAACTATTGTCCAGAGGACTGTTGATCTAATGCTACAGTTCTGCTACCTAATAACTTTTGTAGGCTGATATCAGAGTACACCAATGAAGCAGATAAGTTTAAAATTTCACTGAGGAAAAAAATGTCAAATCCTATACCTCTGACTAAAATGGTATTTTATAGAACATGTTTTTGGAGAAATTGTGGATAAAATATACAAGGTCTAAATCTCCAAGCTGTGAGACACACTGAAATTTTTTTGTAATTTGATTCATTGTACATGTTCTGTTGTACTCTGTGGGAAGGAACAGAGTACAGCCATCCCCATTACAAAGAGTGAATGAAAGCAATAAATGAATAGATAATAATTTTTTATGGTTCTGTGAAAGACACTATTAAAAGAATGAAAATATAAGCTTCAGACTTGTAAGTCATATAACTGATAAAGGAATGTATGGCCAATAAGCATATGGGAGAATTTTCAACATCCTTAGTTAAGAGAGATGCAAAATTAAAATCACAATGAGATACCATTAGACACCTATTAAAATTAGTATTTTTTTTAAAGTCTAACACTATCAATTGCCGACGAGCATTCGGAGTCACAGAGACTCTCCTTCATTGTTGATGGAAATTAAAAATGATATTGCAACTTTGGAAAACTTTGTGCCAATTTTTTAAATAAAATTAAGCATACACTTACCATATAATCCAACAATCCCTTTCTTAGGTTTTTACCAAAGTGAATCTAAAACTTGTTTTTACACAAAAACCTATATGTGAATATTTATAGCATTTTTATCTATGATTACCAAAATGTTCTCAAATGGTGAATGGATGAACATACTGTAGCATATCTATACAATTAAACTAGTACTTAACTATAGAAAGGAAACGATTATTGATTCATGCAATACCATGAATTCATCTTAAATGCATTTTGCTAAGTGAAAGAAGCAGACCCAAATGACTGAATATTGTGTGATTCCATATATGTGACATTTTAGAAAAGACAAAACATACAGACAGGAAACATCAGTGGTTGCAGGGTTTAGATATGGGAGACTTGACTGCAGAGTGATAACATGAGGAATTTTGGGTGATGGAACTATCCTGTATGGTAACGTGCTGGACAAATGCCTGTGCACTCATCAAAACTTAGAGGACTATGCAACACAAAGAGTGAGGTAGATAGTATGCAATTTAAAATAAATAAATAAATAAAATAGGATGTTGGACTATTCCAGGATGAAATAGAAATCTTGACAAATGAATCTAACCAGATTACCAGTGTAAGACATACACTCACTGAAGGCCCAGGGGGAAAAGGACCTAGTCTAGTAACTTTGAGAAACAGTTTTGATAGGACAAAGACTAAGAACAATAATGTTAAAGAGAAAAATAACTGTACATAGACATTTTACTCTATTTGATACTTTTTTTATTTTCTTTTTTTATTGAATTTATTGGGGTGACATTGGTTCACAAAACCATACAGGTTTCAAGTGTACAATTCAAGAAAACATCCTCTGCACACTGTATTGTGTACCCATAGCCCTAAGCAAAGTCTCTTTCATTCCCCATTTTCTCTCCCTCTGCCCACCTCCACATACACCCACCCACTTTTCCTCTGGCTATCACCACACTATTGTCTGTGTCTATGTGTTTTAAATATATGATTTTTTTTTCATGTTCACCTTCTTTCATCTAGCCCACCAGCACCCCCTTCCTGTCTGACAGCTGTCAGTCTGTTCCATGTATCCATGCCTCTGTTTCTATTTTGTTCGTCAGTGTATTTTGTTCATCAGATTCTACATATAAGTGAAATCATATGGTGCTTGTCTTTCTCTGACTAGCTTATTTCACTTAGCATAATAATCTCTGGGTCCATTTATGCTATCACAAAAGGTAAGATTTCCTTCTTTTTTACTGCTGAGTAGTATTCCATTGTGTAAATGCACCACAGCTTTTTTATCCACTCATTCACTAATGGACACGTGGGCTGTTTCCAGATCTTAGCTACTGTAAATAATGCTGCTATGAACATAGGGGTGCATATATTCTTTCAAATTAGTGTTTCAGGTTTTCTTGCATATATTCCAGTAATTGGAATCACTTGGGTGTGGGGGGGGGGTGGCTCAAAAGATAGTTCTATTTTTTTAATGTTTTATTGATGATAGCCTTTCTGACAGGTGTGAGGTGATATCTCTTTGTAGTTTTAATTTTTATCTCTGATGATTAGTGATGTTGAGCAGTTTTTTATATGTCTAGTGGCCATCTGTAGGCCCTTTGGAGAAGTATCTTTTCAGATCCTTTGCCCGTTTTTAAATTTGCTTAATTGTCTTATTGGTGTTGAGTAGCATAAGTTATTTATATATTTTGGAAAGTAACCCCTTATCAGATGTATCATTGGCAAATATGTTCTATTCAGTGGGTTCCCTTTTCATTTTGTTGATGGTTTCTCTTGCTGTGCAAATCCTTTTTAGTTTGATGTAGGTCTATTTGAAAATTTTTTTCAGAGGTGTACAAGTTAATAATTATCAAATTATTTTGCATGTATACTAGGGTGAAACACATAAATAAATAAATTGTTAGTGAAAGTTACAAATAAGCACAATGACATAGGTAAAATTAACCTTGTGTGCTAGATAAGAGATGAAGACATCAGTATAACTCATTTTTATGTTAGTGGACATGCAGATAGATACACAATAAAGCTAGATCTGTATGCATAGACGGGTCTACATATGTAACATATTAGCTCTACTTCTGGAAAGGTCCTAAAAGCAGTAACACCACTCACTGTAGCAATGAACATACTTCGTGTACAGACTTATTTTCTAAATATTCTCCAATAAAAAAAAAAATGTAACCAGGGCACGCAGGAAAAATGGCCAATTCTAGATCTAGGCCGAGAAAAATACAATATGAACCTGAAACATCTTATAGTGCCAGAAAATGAAATAGTGGCAAAAAAAGAAATTACTGGGACATATCGAAAGAACACAGTAGAAAACCAGAAAGAATTCTGAATCACCAAAGCTGAAATGCTTTGAGCAACAAAATACTGAGCCTGATTTTATCAGATTATAACCTCATGAATAAAATACACATTAATGAATCCACACTGATAAAAATAAATGATTGAATAGATAGATAAATGACAGAAAAGGGAACATCTTTGCAGAAAAATTACAAATAATGTACGTAGACACTTTACCCACTTCCCAGGAGGTTAATCTCAATCCCTGTTCTCTTGAGTGTGGGCTAGTCTTTGTGACTCAGAGAGTATAGAAATGAGGAGAAACAAAGCAGACACTGCCTTCACAGAGTGACCGAGGCTAATATCTCCAAAAGAAGTCATGTCGACCACAGGTACCTGGCAGGATGTGGTGAGGGCACTTCACTTCTATGATATTCTCTCCCAAAACTCTTATCCTC